AATGCATCCATTTACCATTGTTCTACACAGCTTGAGAATGCAAACCTTACTAGTTTAAATTGCTGTCATCCAAATTAATTCACTCTACCAACCACAGCCAAAGGTAAAAGGATTATTAAAAATATTTAAAAGCACACAAATGGATTGGAAGGGGCCCTTGGTGGGCACCAAAAGTGAGTTTCTGGGGCTACTGTGGTACCACCCTAGGACACAATTTTTTTCCAGAGGGTTATTGTTAGGACCTCCCCTCCCCCCAAAAAATGACCCTTGTCTTTCATCTGGGTAAAAGACACTCATGCCTTTAATTTTCTTCTGCTTAAGAAAATGTATTTGATAGAGTACCATTCACTTCTCCCCACCCGCTTTCTTTAATAATTAGTTTTTAAGTAGTTATGTGTACGTTATAGGCATAATGGCAGAGGCTGATCCCCAGGAAAGACCAACTGATTCAATAAATGTGTGTGTGTCTATCCGAGTTGATCTTCTTAAAATTTGCCTGGCTTATTTTGGGTTGTGGCTTCCAGGTTTCCAGTAGGAGAAACTCTACACATATTGGCAGAGTGGCTTCAGATTGCAGCACAGGGAAGTAACAGTTATCATTTATTAAATTTATACCCTGCACTTCCTCTCAAAGGAGCCCTGTTTTTGCAGGTGAAAGTAAGCTGACTCCTAGATTACCTGGAAGACTTTAGGTAATGGGTTCATCCCAAAGAGTTGGGAACGTTTACAATATTTTACAAATACAGGCCCAGTTCAGATGATCTTTTGAGGCTTCGTGTCCATGTGGTTTATGAAGCCAGAAACAAGGGTTGGGACCAAGTTCCTTTCCTCCCCTCCTCCTTTTCGGTTCTTTGGAGCGAAGGTCCTGGCTGAAGTCCCCTGTTAAATCTCTGCTGGGAAACTCTGGATTAATGTCAGGTGACAAACCAGTACAGGGGTCAGCAAACTTTTTCAGCAGGGGGCCGGTCCACTGTCCCTCAGACCTTGTGGGGGGCCAGACCAAAGAGATCTTTCAGACAGGGGTGTTAAAGACGGAAGGACAAGACCAGTACCAACAGCTCGTAAAGAAGCCCTCAGATGTCAAGGAGATAAACAACTATCTGACTTTTAGAAGACATCTGAAGGCAGCCCTGTTTAGGGAAGTTTTTAATGTTTGATGTTTTATTCAGTTTTTCATCTGTTGGGAGCCACCCAGAGTGGCTGGGGAAACCTAACCTAACTTGTCCCAACTGCCCCATCGTAAATTCTCTAACTGTTCTCATTTCTTCATGCACATCCCTAAACTGCTTTCTGAAGACTGTTCATATGCTTTAATTGTGGTGCAGTATCAGATAATTGTTTTAATATAATGCAAAAGTAATTGAGGTGACTGAATGCAGGCTTCTTGAAGTGTTGTTCTAATATTACAGTAAGCAAGTTTCTGATTAATTTAGCCTCAGGGTGTCAACTTTTATTAAGCAACCTAACAGGAAACCTTGCACAACAAAAGAAGTGCATAGCTGGGAAAGAGCAGAGAGAGACAGTGAGCAAGAACTCTGATTTTTCAGAATAACTTTCTGACTGCGGTCTAATTTTGGATTCCTTTCAAGTGGTTAGCTTTTTAACGAAGCTACTTTTGCTTGGGAACACGTTCTTATTCAAAGTTTTATCATTCAAACGGTTTCAAAATTTTGCAAAATGCCTCACTGAGCATCTTAAGTGCTTTTCTTTTCTTCAATATCTGATGTTTTAATTTCTCTACTAAATTCCCTATTAATTTAGATCGGTTTCTGCTGAAAGGAAAACTCGAAACTGGAATTTCTCTTTGACAAAACTACTCCTTAAAAAGAAACTGATTGTGTGAAATCAGTTGCTGAACAGGTTTTTATCTCAAAACCTTTCAGAGTAGGTAGAGTCGTGGCCTCTGACACTGTTCTTTAGAAATTAATAGTGAAATTTGGGTTTTCCCTGTTCGGGAACTCAGCAGAGAAAAGGGTGAACTTATTGCTGATGTAAAGATTGCAGGGGAAAAGAGACTGAATTTGGTTTGCCTGTTTTTCTGTGTCTCCTCTTAAATAACATTGAACAGGAAAACCCTCCTGAGTTGGTAGTAAGTGTGGTTTGTAGTCATTGTGTACACCCCAGATGGTTCATAAAAACCCTTTGAAATGCCATCTGTCAGGCGTGTGTCCAGCCGGCAGCCTGTCATTTCGCTACAGAAAAGCGGAGGCAGGAATTCCCTTACCCCTTGTTTTCTTTACTACCTTTCTGAATTGTCGTTGGGAACATTTGCTTAGATGCAGTGAAGCCGAGAGTAATCCTTGCACTATGCAAAAATGCAGAATGTGGGCATTTGCAGCCCCGTTGATCCCACAAAATGAGAGGGACTTGTCAGTGAAACTATATCTTAGGCTACAGTGGAAATTGGTATGTTTTAAGTTACTAGCTTCTTGACGTTACAAGGCTCTTCTAGTTGCGTTTATCTTCAGAGCGCAAGTAAAAAGCCAGATGAGACTCAATGGGTCATCCTAAGTGTGAATGAATAAATCAACATCCTGGGCAACTCTTTGTTCTCTGAGCATCCTGGATGAGCAATGGACTTAATTTGTGCCTGTAAGAACAAACTCCATCTGATTCAGATGTGCTTGTTTTTGCTCTGAGCACTCATTGCTGAAGTAGAACATGGAAACTTTAAAGCCCTACAATTGTATCTCAGTAATAGAGCAAGTATACTCTGCCTTGGTTTGTGTGGTGTGCATGTATTTTGGTTGTATGTAGAGAAAACTAATATGTGTAGCTCTTCCACTGAAATTAATGGCAGATGGATGGATGCACTTACCATATTTTTCGCTCTACAAGACGCACCCGACCATAAGACGCACCTAGTTTTTAGAGGAGGAAAACAAGGAAAAAAAATATTCTGAATCAAATGTTTTTGATAGCTGCTTTGCGTGGCTATCCCTGAAGCCAGAACAGCAAGAGGGATTCCTGCACAGCTCTCCCTCTTCTGTTCTGGCTTCAGCGATAGCTGTGCAGCCTGCATTTGCTCCATAAGACGCACACACATTTTCCCTTACTTTTTAGGAGGGAAAAAGTGCGTCTGTCAGGGGTTCAGGGAGAGAGGCACAGATGAGGGAGGAGACTGAGAGCGAGGGGGAAGAATCCCGGAACGAGGAGGAGGAGGATGACAATGACTTGAGGGTTTCCACGAGTCTTTCAAGTGAATCGGAGGATTCCCAAAAGGGGGCGCCCCTGGTCAGGCCAAGGGGAGCCACAGGGGGGACTCGTCAGGAGCAGGGGAGCAGCAGGGAAATCCCGAGTGGGAGTGGGAGATCGGGGCCGGCTTCCCCGCCGGAACGGAGTGAAGAGGGTGGAGTTCCCAGTGTGACAGACGAAGCAGAGCAGGAAGCAGAGAGGGGAAGGAGATCGGGGCAAGACGTCCTGCCGGAAGGGGCGGAGAGTAGTACAGAGAGTAGTGTAACTGTCAAGAGGAAGGTCAGAGGTAGCGAACGCGCGCCAAGTTCAAATGTGGAGGCGCGCGGAAATGCGGAGAGCCCGGAGGAGGAGCCTGGTCCCAAAGCACGGAGGAGGGGGGAGCAGGCATCTGGGGACTCAGCGTCAGGGGAAAGCAGGAGGGAAGGAACCCAGGGGGGCAGAAAGACCCTGCGGAAAAGGAAGGACAGGAAGAGGTGGACCAGCAGAAGCCTCTTAAACTGGTGTGGAGGCGGGACTGATTCAGAGGGGACTTCAGCGGTCTAAGCGTAACAGACGTGGGGCTGCGTGCCTCGGCTGTGGAACAAACAATGTACTTCAATAAAGACTTTTGTAAATAAAGTGGACTTGGCGTTGGTCTCTTGTGAGCTGGGACCTGAGGCGGCCCTGACAGCGTCCTATAGAGCGAAAAATACGGTAGCTTTCCCTTAGTTATATTTAATGGGTTGGATCCAGAGAAACACTGGGAGTAGGCATGGGAGGTGAATTTTGCACCCCTTCTTCCTCCCTAGAAAGACTCTCCCAAGGATGAGGGGTTCCTGCCGAATGGGGTGGTCTGGGCTGTCAAGAGGGAAGGGGGAGGAATTATTTTTTAAAAAAATAAGGAGGAATGAGGAAGCACTTTCATTGAGAAGCAGCTCATCTTCCAGCCTCCCCTTCCATTTGTGTTCTTTTAGATCCAGCCCATTATTATTTAAGCCCATCTGAATTCATAATTCTTACAGAGTGTTTTAGCAGACCACCCTACGTTGATAGCAAAGGGCCTCTGCAACATTCAGATTTCAGCATCCCCAGAAAATTAAGAGCAATGGCTTGAAATAAGTAGAACTATTCAAATGCCTTAGAAAATTAGTCTGCAGTTTTGACAGATGTGTTGATGTAATGTAAACAAAGGCGGAGAAGGATGATAAAACGTTAGTAATTGTCATAAAAAGACAGATGGAAAATGTGGGGGTGGATGCCAATAAATATTTCATGCAAGTTCTGGGTTGTTGAGGAAAGCTTTGTGAAATCGAATAAAGCGAGTTTTCACCCAAGTTCCCCAGTATAAGTTGACTTGGAGAGGATATGGAATTGGTGAGAATTTGTATGGTGCTTCCCTGCAAAGGCCAGAAATGGATTCAGTTAAAACGTATCTTGCAGACACCTGGTCCAGAGCCAGGGCCGGACCACCCATGAGGCAAGGTGAAGCAACTGCCTCAGGCAGTAGGATCCACAGGGACAACAGATCCAGCTTCCAAGAAATGCATCACCCGCTGCTGCAAGCTTATGCCATTTTTTAAAAATGCAAATCTTTTAAGGCACTGCTAGACTGCACTGTGCTTGGCGTGGGATGGTGGTTGTTGCAGACACTCATGTATGGTGCTACTTTACTTTGTCTTTTTCCTTTGGTACGTGGCCTCTTTCCCCAGAAGATCGTGGTTCCATTTCCCTCAGTAATGTCTTGATGCGATGATACTTGTTTTGCCCTGATGGTGGTAAGGAAGCCTGAAAAGTCATTTTTGTTACCCTTTTTTGTCTCCCCTTAGGCACAACACGTCCTCCACGAGAAGGAGAAGTGCCTGGTGTGGACTATAACTTTCTGACTGTGCAGGAGTTTCTTGAGCTTGAAAAAAGCGGGACTCTTCTTGAAGTGGGAACCTATGAAGGTATGTCGTAGTACTGTGGGCTCAACGAGATGCCCGTGATGAAGGACAGCTTCTAGAAATGCTTGGGGAACTTCTTTGGGAAACTTAGGGCCACCGCTTGCTTTTTATTATTATAATGGCACCATTTCAATCCCACCCCCTTTAAAAGCTTTAAAACAGTGTTTTGAAAGGTAGGAATTAACATGGCAGTGTTGAGGATTTTATTGTATTGTATTGTATTGTATTGTATTGTATTGTATTTTTACCATTCTTCATCAAAGATAGACCCCAAAACGTTACACAAAACAGAACCCAATTCACAACATTAAACAGATTAGGAAATTATTAAAAAGCAGCAATAAAAGAGGGATGTTTCTATGCAAACAGCTGCAGTACAACATGAGAATAATATTAAACTTTCAACAATAACAACTTCCCCTCAGGGCTGCATGAGCAAACACTTCTTATTAGGCATAAGAAGCCCAAAAGTGTAGGGGCCATCCATACTTCTAAGGAGAGGGAGATCCAAATTCAGAGGGCCACTATAGAGAAGACCCTGTCTTATGTCACTGCACAGCCATCATTGAGTACAGTGTCCCCCCACCGCCTGCCATTTCATGATCTAGATTGGCTAATTTGCAGGGTTGGGATGTGTTCCCTCAAATACCTAGACCCCAAGTTATTCAAGTCAAGCATGCCAGCATTAACACTTTGAACTGAGCCTTGTTACGTATAGGCAGGCAGCCCACAGAGATCCTGCAAATATGCCTGCTTCATCAATAAGAGCTCTGGCAACTTTGACATTCAATCCCATCCAAATGCCTGCTGAAGTTAATGAAGACCTATTGCTTTCATTATTTATTTACTTATTTTGGGTTGCCTGGGCGGATGCTGCACTAACCACTTTGGATGTATTGGTTTGTTAATGGTGCTGCAGGCTGGTTTGACAAGTGCTGCCTTTTAGACTGCAATCCTTTACACACTTACCTGGGAGAAAGTTCTGTAACATTTAGCGAAGCTTTCTTCTGGGTTGAGTTGAATGGGATTGCTTTTTGCTAGCCTGAATTAAGCCAGTGTTTGAGCTTTTCTAACTATAAACTTAACTTCTTAAACTTAGGGAGGCTTCCTAGCTGAGATTCGGAGAGGTAATGACATTTGTCTTTTTAATCTACAGAAGAATGCAAAAATTGCAGTAAAAAATGCTGAATTATTGGCTGAGAATTGAAAATATACAGGTCCTGTGCCCACCCAGCTATAGGAGTTTATAGTTGACAAGTTGCAGTGATGGGAATCACTAGTGACCTGCTTTTCAAGTTTGTTGTGAGGATGAAGAATTGTAAAGAATTGTAAAGCTAATAATAATAATAATAATAATAATAATAATAATAATAATAATAATTTATTTAAACCCTGCCCATCTGGCTGGGTTTCCCCAGCCACTCTGGACAGCTCCAGCAAAATATTAAAATACAATCATTCATCAAATATCAAAAAGTTCCCTAAACATAGCTATTGATACAATTGTTACAACTTTAATGACTTACTCAGCATCTTGGCTTTTGACTGCAAGTTGGACATCTTTATTATTTTCAGGATTTTGTAATGGTGAGTAATAATATTAATAAACAGTAAGCATGTGTGTGTTTGTGTGTGTAATGCCCTCTGGATGTTGTTGAACAACAATTCCCATCACCCCCCAGCCAGTCAGGGATGATGGGAATTGTGGTTCAACAATATTCAGAAGGTACCATGTTGGCTGCTGATGTTCCAGAGGCAGGACAAGAAATGCATTTATAGATTTTTGTCAAGTCACTCAAGGCTTCTTTGTATCACAGCAAAGTACCACCCCGTCCAAGTTTATTTCATTTAAGAGTATTTTAAGATGCTATGATTCATCCTCTGGGCATGAAGCATAGATTTGTCAAGGAGAGGGAAAAGTTATCTTTAATTACTTCTGTCGAGGTCTGTTCAAAATGTAATAAGGTGGCCTTTTAAAACAACAAGAAGTCATACATTTTGAACAATGAAGATTTAGTTCTGTTCGGAAGCAATTAACAACTCAGTTGCCTTAGGAATATTAGTCAAGGGTTCCATTGTGTTTCAGAACCTCATGCTCATTATTTTTTTATTAATAAAATAATTCAGGCCTGAATTCCAAATTTATGAAACTTTGCAAATACTTGCAGACAACCCCTAAACCGACTCACTCCAGTTTTCATGTTTACACATGAAGTTGTATGCATAGGATTGTTCAATTGTGTGCTCTGAGTTTTTCCTATTCTTTGCAAATAATGGAGGAGCCCTGAGATAGTTTATTGTTTATTTTATTTACCATTTAAAATATTTTTTTAGGCTCTTTCGTTCATCAGTTTGATGCCAAGGTAGTGTACAAAGCAAGGCCAAATATACAACTATAAAATATAACAACTGTGGAAATACTGGCAAAGCAGTAAACCACCGTCAGAGACTACACAACTGAGATGCAGCTGTTATGATACAGTTATGGTATCATAACAAAGAAGGCTTGCTCTTTCATTGAAACATAGCATGTAGAAGCTTTCTCTGACAGATCTTAGGACACGGACAGGCTGCTATCAGGAGAGACAGTCAGCTACTTGGGCCATTGAGGGGTTTAATAGTTGAAAAGTACAATGGGGGGAGAGGGGGGTAGGGAGAGAGGGAAGAACAGAGATGGGGAGCTGTTGTTCTTTCATTTTATTGCCTAGTGGGGTTGTGTAAGCATCATGTGGATAGGTCCTTTGTTTATATATACACAATCAAATTGAATAATTTCCACATAAATCATAATCAGATCTAAAATAAAGATACAAAAATTAATATCAGTAACAGCAACAGCCTTCCCCAACAACCCCCGCCCTAAAAACCCCCAATAAAGGTAAAGGTAAAGTGATCCCTGACCATTAGGTCCAGTCGTGACCGACTCTGGGGTTTTGGCGCTCATCTCGCTCTATAGGCCAAGGGAGCCGGCGTTTGTCCGCAGACAGCTTCTGGGTCATGTGGCCAGCATGACTAAGCCGCTTCTGGTGAACCAGAGCAGCGCACGGAAACGCCGTTTACCTTCCTGCCGGAGCGGTACCTATTTATCTACTCACACTTTGACGTGCTTTCGAACTGCTAGGTTGGCAGGAGCAGGGACCGAGCAATTGGAGCTCACCCCGTTGTGGGGATCGAACCGCCGACCTTCTGATCGGCAAGTCCTAGGCTCTGTGGTTTAACCCACAGCGCCACCCGCTAACCAATACCCCAGCCCAATAACTGAGCCTTTGTAGCTGAATTGATCAGGACCCCACCCTCCCAGGCTAGGTGGAAAAGTCCTGCAGGCCAAGGAGCAGGTCTTCCAGGACTCAGAACCAAGATGGAACAGATTAGGTGGTTGTAGATGTGGCATATATTGCATAGCGAGGCCCCAAGCCCCACCCCATTTCTTAGATAATGAAACACACGGACACCAATATTTTGGGTTAATGGGATAATTAAGGCCACAACTTTATTGGTAACAGATGTGAGCAGTATTGGCTTAGGCAGTGGAACTGAACCGACTATATCCGACTCCTGCCCACCATGCAGGTAGTCTCATAAGGGTCAACCACCAGTAGGGGGAGCTCTGTTGATGCACATCAACTGTGAGCTCCCCCAGGATCACCGATGGGGTCGTGGCATGGCCCTAGCCTATACCCGGGCTTCGGACAGGATCCACACCCCCGGATCCCTTTAACGGAATACCCTTAAAGAGGAGGGGCAGGTGAAGGTCACATCCTCCCCTCCCATAAACCAGGTTTACCAATGCCTAACCGCCAAACCTTACAAAGTTGTGACGATTGCTACAAGGCAGGCAAAAACCTTGTGGCTGGTGCCAATTTGCCAAGTGGGAAAATTCCTACCTGGCCCCCGCAGCAGGCGACCAACCGTAGTCCATAGCAAGGCCAAGATTGCAAACGCACGAAAATATGGCGGGAGGGCGGGAGATCCGATGCAGGAGGAGAAAAGGAGACTGAGCCCCGGCAACGCGGATGTTTAAATCTGAGCCACGTCCCCCGGTCTACCAGATTGGTTGGCTGTGGGTCGTGACGCGGCCGGGACTCCCAATGATGTGGGTGGTATCGCCACGCCCCCTGCTATACACAGAGAGTGCTCATGGCCAGCCTGCAACTCCGCCCCCCTGGGAAGGTGAGCGGTTTTGTCAGGAACAGAGCAATTAGTTTCCATTCATAGCATAAGATGTACTTACTAATGTTTCTATACAACAGATCCACTCAGTACAGTGGTACCTCAGGTTACATACGCTTCAGGTTACAGACGTTTCAGGTTACAGACTCCGCTAGCCCAGAAATAGTACCTCAGGTTAAGAAATTTGCTTCAGGATGAGAACAGAAATCGTGTGGCGGCAGTGCAGCGGCAGTGGAAGGCCCCATTAGTAAAAGTGATACTTCAGGTTAAGAACAGTTTCAGGTTAAGAACGGACGTCCAGAACGAATTAAGTTCTTAACCCGAGGGACCACTGTAATCCGAATGGCCCTTTAACCCTATTAGATCACCAAGATCTAATTGCAGTGGAGTATTTTATTTTCTCCTTATGCTTATGCTCTTTTAAAACTTTTTTAGGCAATGCCAGTGTGGTGTAGTGGTTAAGAGCGGTAATCTGGTGAACTGGGTTCACGTCCCCGCTCCTCCACATGCAGCTGCTGGGTGACCTTGGACTGGTCACACTTCTCTGAAGTCTCTCAGCCTCACTCACCTCACAGAGTGTTTGTTGTGGGGGAGGAAGGGAAAAGGAGATGGTTAGCTGCTTTGAGACTCCCTAGGGTAGTGATAGAGGGACGCGGGTGGCGCTGTGGGTAAAAGCCTCAGCGCCTAGGGCTTGCCGATCGAAAGGTCGGCGGTTCAAATCCCCGCGGCGGGGTGCGCTCCCGCTGCTCGGTCCCAGCGCCTGCCAACCTAGCAGTTCGAAAGCACCCCCGGGTGCAAGTAGATAAATAGGGACCGCTTACTAGCGGGAAGGT